GCACCGCCGGGGACGGCGAGACGGGGAAAATTAAAGCGCGTTAATCTAATTTCAAACGAGAATCGCCCGCGGCGAAGCGGTTTTCGATCGGTGCGGCGGGGCGGCTGAGGGGGAGCGCTGCCGCCTCACGGCCGGGCGCGCGCCGCGCCTGCGCCCTCCGCTCTGCCCGCTGCGCGAGCGCAGAGCCTGCGCTCCCTCCGCGGCTCCCGCGCCCTCAGAGCCTGCGGGTCCCGCAGGACACGGACACGGACCGGGGCGACCGACCGACCGGAGCCGCACGATGTCGGCCACGCTCTACGTGCTCTCCACGCTGGGCGGATACGTCCTCACCTCCGCGCTCCTCCTCAAGTGCCCGGGGCTGCTCCACCGGCCCAAGCGGCAGCGCTTTCGCTGCCGGCACATCTCGCACCGCGGCGGTGAGTGAAAGGGGGGATGGAGGGTGAGGGGAGGGGGGGCCCTTCCCGCCCCGCGCCGCTCCTCAGGGGTCCGCGGCCCCCGGGCGATGCTCCCCTCGCTCCCGGGATGCTGCCGTCTCCCTCCCCGGCCCCTGTGCCCGCGGCTCGCAGCGGGGCTCCCTTGGAACCTTCCTCCCGCAGCCTAATTTTAGGTGCCACCTGCTGACCAGCGCCTCGTCTCAGCGCCGAATTAATCTCCGAAGGCAAACGGCACCGGCCGAAATCAGCTTTGTGTCGCTTTGTTCCCCTCCCGAGCGTGTGTATTTTTGCTTCTAACTGGTCTGTATTCTGCCGTTTCCCTCCCTAACGAGAGGCACCTCTGGCTGTGCCTTAGATCAGGTGCAAAAGATCAGTTTTCTTTCCTCTGACCTCCCGTTCGCTTTGCTCTCTGCTTTTTCAGGGGAAGCACAATTTGCTGTGACTCTGTTCTTGCCCCCCTTGGTGCTGCAGACAGTGCCTGTTTCAGTGCCCTGGTAAAACCCATCCAGTTTGAGAGTCTTATCCCTTCCTTGTGCCAAGGCCTAGAGGGTTGGCTCGCTGCTTCTGTCTAAAACAGCTAAGTCAGGTTTTTAAAGTTCCTTCCACCTTTTCCAAAGCACTGTGAGGAAAAAAAAAAATACAGCGACTTGTGTTTTTGTGTTCTGTGAAGATCAGTTCTGGGCTTTTCTCTGTGGAAATAGGCTGAGTTTAAACAGTTTTCAATATCATATCCAGAGCCGGTTTATGCAGGGGTTGATCACAGTTCTAGACAATGGTCCTTAACTGCTGCTCTGCCTGGAATCATTAAAATACAAAAACTAGAGTTGATCTTTGTAGCTTTTATTA